GCTAAATAATGCATAACTTGGACACATATTTCATTTTTATTTAATTTACTATTTTCCAAAGGATCGTGAACTATAATATTTGGACAATTTTCAAACCATAGTGCTCCTGAATTATAATACTTATATTTATCTATAATTTCTTTAAATATGAGAAAAAAATGCAAAAAATAATTCCACAAGTAAAATAAAAAGAAAATTTCAAAAAAAATTGCATTTAATTTTGCACATTTTTTAGATAGTTACACAAGATAAAATATGTACATATAGTTATATTTTTATTTACATTGCAGTAATTTAAATTTACTTCTGTTATGTCCATTTCAGATAAGAATATGTTTCTTTCATTTAAAGTGAAAAATACATTAGTTTATATGAAAAAAAGGATTTTTATGTAAACAAGAACTTAGTGCAAAAAATATGTATGATTCTTAAACCTATACATATAGAATTTATTTAAAAATATCATTAGACTGTTATTAAATTAATTTTAGAAAAGGTTAAATAAGAAATACACATATTTACTAAAATATCTTTTCTTAATTATAAGAAAAAAAAAAAAATGTAATATAAAAATAATTAATATAAATATTAATGATATTTCTTCTTAATATATTACTTTATATATATCCTTCTATAAGATATATATATTGTTGTTCTAATGTTCCAAATTAAATAAAGGAATAAATTACTAAAATATGTTATTAGGGCGATTATATATAAAATTATGTATATAATCTTCTTTGTATGTACTTCTTATATTATCAGGAAAATATATATATTAAATCATATATAATAGTACAATGAATATGTTTTTGTATTCAAAAATTAGTTACTCTGTTAATTTATTATATATACTTTTTTACAATAATTAATACTAAATATTGTAGTTTATATAATTTATAACTGTGTATCATATGGTTCATACTTTAATGATTTTTTATTTTATGCCTTTCAAAATAATATAAGTATAAATGTAATTTATAATTATAAATGTGTATGTGGAAAACTGTCATTTCTATGATTAATTTATAAAACAATAAAACATATATTTTAAGATCATAACGCACCATAAAATGCGTTTATATTATATTATTTTTACACGTACAAAAATTAAAACAAATATTATTATTACATGTTCTTCATATTATTGTTTTAAGGATTCTATATTCTAGCATATTACTATACTTAATGTTAATCATTGTAAAAATTAAATGTAAAAATAATTATTTAGTTATAGTACAAAAATAAACTAAATATAATTTATTTATTTGTGTCATTGTGGATGATATTAGAGAGGAATAATTTTCAATTTTCCGAAGTTCCTATTTTTAGTTTTTATTTTATACTGGTATTATATTAATTACAATTAAATTCTCTAAATATAATAATATAATTATTTCGAATGTATAATGTAATAAGAACTAAAAATAATATGCTATTGAAGAAATAAAAAGTATTACTTAATTAATAATTACAATTGATATTTGAAAATGTATTGTAAAACACATTATTATAGAGCAATTATTATTTACATTTATTCATTTAATCACATTAACTATAATTTGCCTAATCCATAAATATATCCTATAAATATGCTACAAAAGATATCATAATACTGTATATAAAGATATATAATTTTAGTAAATATTTTATTCTTTCAGATGAGACCTATTGTATTTTTGAACTTAAAAACATCATATATTTTTTTTTATATATATAAAAATAATTNNTATTTTTATATAATGAATTATTCCCTTAATTGTAATTACAATACTTATGGAAAGGAAATGAAAATAATAGTTCTAACTTGTTCTATTTTATTTTTTTTATGCCTATATAATTATAGTAAAAAGTTAAGTGTAAAATAAACATTTTTATTATAGTTAAAATTATTGTGAATTATATTTATTCAGTTATTTATAAATAAACGGGTTCATTTATTTCATGATTATATAATATATATATCTATGTAGGATATAATTTTATGGACATCAGCAATTTAATATGTCTAAAGAAAATTTAATATGGAATATATTTGATAAAATAATGCAAAATATATTCTTTTATATACAATAAAATTGCTTAAAATACTTTAAAAAGTTAATTTAAAAGATCTTGTTTAGTATAAATAAATTGAGTTTATTTAAACAATTTATATTAATTTTACATTATATTATAATACTAGTACGTGGAATTTAAATTATTCTTAAATATATTTATTTATGCTTTACATATTTTTTACCTCAAAAATATGTAATTTTATACGTATGATGATCAAATTTTGTCTCAATTATTCAATGTATTTTATTACACGATTTTAATTCACACAAAATATGTATTATAGCATTAGTATTCATGTTTTTTCTTTCATTGTTTATTTATGCTTTTTCTTTCTTTTTTGCACTTATTTCTTTTTTAATATATGTTTTTTA